ATCCAACACTGGAACTCTTCGAAGTCAAGGTAAGCTTTCGGTTTTTTAAATGTATTGCCACGAGGACCGCCGGTGTAACTGCTAATCTGCTTGCTGTACACTGTACTTCGTGATTGTAGCGGGTTTACTAATGTGTTAGTTCTAGTAGCTATGTTGACTATGACGTTAGCTAATATGGTGACAACGCAGTAGGCTGTGTTTAGTGGTTAGCGGTTACGGTATGAAGGGTTGGCTTGGATTATTTTTTTTTTGCCTGGCCACAGACAGCTGTTGTGTTGTGCACTGAAATCCACAAGTGAAGGGAAAAGGTGAGAGGAGGAGAGCGCGTAGATGTGAGAAGGAATTATACAATAAGCAAAGTGATGATTCTGTTTGTATGTGGCTGCTACGAAAGTGAACTGTGTGTGCAGGTGATCAGGGGTGTATTCATTCCGCTGATTCTGTTGAAAAACTTTTCTTAAACGGAAGGAAATGGAACGAAACGGGGATAAACCTACCTGAATTTGTCCAATAGAAACTCTTGTTTGCAACAGTTTGGACTAATGATTACACCCTAGATCAGCTAGATGCAGGCAAGAGGTATTGAATGTGTCACCTTGATTACTCCAATTTGTCTCTCGACCTGTTATAAACGTTCATTCGTAGGCTAGGTTGTAGCAACATCATGATGGATATAGGGAAAATGTGAGTATCATGTAGCCTAAACCTATTGATGTTACATTGAATGTAATACGGATGACAGTCATCCAATATGCTGTAATAGAAATAAGGCAATGCTCATAAAAAAAAAAAATGTCCTCCCTAATTTTAAATGGCACCAACCGCCATTGATCTACTGTACATAGACTAGGCCCCTCTAGCCCTTTATAAATACACACACCGTGCCTAGATGGCATTAGAAACATTCATTCAGAACCTAGAGGTCCTCTGAAAAACACACACGCTTGCACGCACACACACACACAAAAACACCACAGAGTACATTCCTAGGGCAGAGAGAGATGCTATGAGGGTCAGTGGAGGCTGCTAAGGGGAGGACGGCTCATAATAATGTCTGGAATGGAGTGTAATGGCTGGAATAGAGTGAATGGAATGGTATCAAACACATGAAAACCGTTATTACTATGAGCCGTCCTCCCCTCAGCAGCCTCCACTGGTGAGGGTGTAGTGTAGTGTAGTGTAATGTGATGGTGAAACCTGAGGCAGCAGCAGGCAAGCTGGAGAGCCATGCAGCAGTGTGAGTTTGAGCTGTTAATGCCATGAGGATTCGGGGGATTTTCACAGCTGGACCCAATGGAAGATGAACCCAGTGTAGTGTGAAGGTATACATTACTCCATGCCAAACACAGTCAGAATGGACTCAATTAAAGAGGGACTTTGTCCCAAATGGTACCTTATTCCCTTTATAGTGCATTACTTTTGACCAGGGCCCTGCCCATAGGGCCCATAGGGCTCTGGTAAAAAAATAGTGCACTATATAGGCAATAGGCTGCCATTTGGGAGATGGATACCTTCACACTACACTGGGTTCATCTTCCATTGGGTCCAGCTGTGAAAACCCCCTGAATCCTCATGGCATTAACAGCTCAAACTCACACTGCAATTTTCAAAATCCATGTAAAACATCACAGCACAATTGAAAAATATATGGCACATGGAAACCAAACCAGGGTGGTCTGCAGTGATAGGTGGGATGGGCTGAGAGTGGCTGAGGGGTGGGATTAAAGAGCTCATGTTCGGTAATGTATTATTGTTATGTGATTGCTATATATAAAAGTACCATGTATGTCAAATCTATATGTACAATGTATGCATATGTAGCAAAAAAGCTGTAAAAACCACAAAATATATTTGTGTCCTCTGAAGAGGTGGATGGGTTAAGAAAAAAAAGAAGAAAAAAAAAGACAAGGCTTTGATCAGAGAATGTGGACAAATGTTGCCAGCACTGTGTCTCAACAGATGTAGAATGCATGTCTTACTGCTGTTTCATCTGAGAGAATTTGAGAAAAGAAAACTTTATTCATACCAGAGGCTGTAATGCTCTTCTCATACGTTTGTCAGTGTGTCTGAGTCCAACTACTACAGCCCTCTGTGTTCTTATTGTGATTGGCATCTTGATGAATTGGGATCTCTGTGAAGTTTCCAAATGCTATTTGCTTAAATGGCTTCGATATGGCCGAGTGCAGGATGTTGAGGGAATACTGGAGGCCTGACTCTGTGTGTGTGTGTGTGTCTTTAGTGACGGGCTGATGACAACCCACAGAGAATTCCCCTATGCCAACTTGAGCCAACTATGAATGGGCATGGATGAGAGCGAGGGATAACAGAGAGGGAGAGAGAGAGAGAAGGAGAAAAGGAGCTACCAGTTCTCAGTCTCACGTCAGAATTAGACTTTCCTCCATGTTTCTTAAACGTCAAATTTAGAAGTTGTTCCAAGCATCACATTTCAAAGTGTTTAAGGTTAAGTTTAGGCATTAACTCCAAATATTTAAGGTTAGGGGTTAAGTTCAGGCATTAACTCCAAATTCTTAGATTAGGCATTAACTCCAATGGTTAAGGTAAGGTTGAAGGTTTGGGATACCCTTAAAACAAAAATATCAAAAACAACTTTCCATTGCTGGATTCAAATTTACAACCTTTGGAATCAGAGGCAGATGCTTACGCCCAATCCGCCATCCCCGTCCACAACACCATAGCAAAACCAAAACCTACTTGAAGGTAACAGTGCTCACTATTGCCCCTAGTGGCCAGTTTACACGTCATTTCCCGACATCGTCAGATGTGGATGGACGTCGAACACTGACTTGTATCACGGGTGACCTGGCTGCAAGAGGGAGAGAAAGAAAATTAGAGTATAAAAAAGAGGGAAAGGAGAGTCCCGTGTGGCTCAGTTGGTAGAGCATGGCTCTTGCAACGGCAGGGTTGTGAATTCATTTCCCACGGGGGACCAGTACGAAAAAGTACAAAGATAAGAGCATCTGCAAAATTACTAAAATGTTAAAATAAGAGAGAGAGAGTGACAGTGTGTAACCCCAAAGGTTGTGCGTTGTTTCTGCTGTTGTCATTGCAGTGTGGAGAGGGAGAGCTGTCCATCAACACTATTCTTTCAGGACGTGTTCAGCCTCAACATCTCTCAATGACACTCAGCCTGATAACCAGGGTTAGGATTAAGACCTTAAAACAACACACAGGCGACAGGACAGGGTGGAGGAGGAGGGGGAGAGGCAGCAGGTCTTGGACACCAGTAAAGGAGGGTAGGAGGGGAGAGCTCTTCAAAGGGTTCCACTGTTTACAGAGATGTCTCTCCACTTCCCCTCTGCTCAACTCCCACTCCTCTCTGGAGAAAGGACCTCCATGCATCAACTGAGCCCAGACACCCCTCCCCTCAGCCCTCTCCTGCACCTTCCCTTTTTCCTCCACCCTCACTCCATCCTCCCCCTCACCCCTAGAGAGTCCAAGTATCTCTCTCCTTTCAAGCCCCCCTACTTCTCCAATTAGTTCTCCCTCTCTACCGCCCCACCCGCACCTCTACGAGTGTCTCTCCGAGTGTCAGGCGAGTGTCTCGGGTTGTGAGGAGTGCGACGCCGTGACTTGTTAACAGGCGAGAAAAGGAAAACATCTCAATACGATTCAATTATGGTTCAGATTAAACGATGGAGCAATCCTTAGGAGGAAAACAAGCAGTGTGTCTGTCGATGAGAGAGAGAGACCTTCAAGGCCTGGTTTCCCCCAAGATTAGCTAACCATGACCCAGTGCAACTTTATCTCACAGAGCATTACGGGCCAAATGGCTCTGGTGGATGAGTATCTGGTCCTCTGATACTGGATATGACTGGATGAAGAACACAATAGATTTCTAGGGGTCAAAATCTCCAAAGAAATATGTGGCTTGACATGAAATAAGACAGTAAGAAAAGCACAAGGCATCTTGGGGCTGTGTTTGATCAGTCTGGGGTTGTTTTTTGTTTTTGTAGACAGACAGACAGACAGACAGAGAGAGAGACAGTCAGACAGAGAGATAGAGAGAGATTGAGAGAGAGAGAAAGGGGAGATAGAAAGGAGGGAGAGAGAAAGGAGGGAGAGAGAGGTGGATAGAAAGAAGACAGAGATGAAGAGAGAGAGCTTCAAGTCTAAGACAAACAACAACCAACATTCTGTTTAGAATTCATCCCCATTTTAGCAGCTTGACAGGAATTCCTTTCATGAGACATCAAAGTCTTTGAGTAAATACAATACAGGCCCAATATGTGTCCAATAAATACACTATCCATGTTCCTCCATGCTCCCTCAGGGGTTCTAGAACAGCCCATGGCAACCACTGAGCCATCCCATCTCCCTGTACCCATCCCTTTTCTCAATAGCAGCAGCACATGTGAGTCTATGGGGGTGGAGGGTTGGGGGGTGTCAGAGAGAACTAGGACCATCTCATTGCAGTCTCTCCCTCTTTAAACTTTTACAAACCAGTGGGGTTTTTTCTTCTTTTTTGAGTGTAGCCCAAAAAAACGCTCTCCAAAATCTGGACTTTCACAAGCAATAAATTACCAGTTTTTTTTTCTCTTCCCGTAACGCCATAGTAAGTCATCCATGGGAAAGCATATTCCAATTCGCCGGTGGATTCTGATGAGTCATCCAATGAGGAAATGCTTGATGGTGATGATGTCATAACAATGTGCCATTAAGATGTGACGCTCATAGAGTTTTCCCACGTACCCCAGATAAGAGTATTCAACTTGACTCCATTTCGGATGGGTGGCTACCAGGTTGCCTGATTGGAGAAATGTACAATTTTGGTCTACACTAAACTCTGTGCCACAATGTGATCAAACACTGAATAAGGGGGAGGGGATATCCAGGTCTCCTTTCATCCAAAGCAACTGATAGTTAACACAATATATTCAGTATGTGACCCATGCCAGAATCCAATAGAGCCATTGGAACCACGTGTCTCTCTTCCCCCTCTCTCCCCATTCAGGATCTCAGTACTCCTCCCCTCTCCTCCCTCAGTACTCCCGGGCCTCCTCTAGCTCAGCCTGGTACACGTCCTCTGGGGGGTTGTGGGCACACTGCAGCCCGTTGTTGGGCGGCCTCACCGAGTGGAAGCGGCTCCAGTCCCCTTTACACAGGATCCAGGGCAGCACGTCCACTTTGTAATGCAGCTCCGGTGAGAACTCCGTACTGATGAGATTTGGCGCGCCCGCCCCTTTCCCCCGTGTGATCAGTTTCATGTGGTCATCGTAGCAACAGTGCTGCGCGGCCAGCGTGGTGCTGTCAAAGGAGAGCATGGAGCGTGTGCAGAAGCGAGCGGAGGGCTTGTAGATGTCCAGCCGTTCTTTGGGGCCGGAGGCGTCACGCCAGCGGTAGGTCTTACGCAGCGTCTTGTCGAAGATGTTGACGGCGCTGTAGACGGCCTCGGACGGGAAGGAGCAGGGGCAGCTGGGTAGTTCAGTCAGCACCTGGTGGAGGTACTTCTGGAGAAAGTCGTTCTTACAGCTCAGCCACTTCTCACAGCTGTCCACGTCTGGGGAGGAGATCAATCATATAGGAGTCAACAGATGATTAATCAACTATCAATCAATAACACAACAGTCAGTAGGCCATCGATAAGGATCAATCAATGATCAGCAGCAATCAATTAACTATCAATAAGCACAGAAACATACACTGTAAGCACCTGCTACTATAAGTGATGCACACATATAGAGTTGAATCATAGCTTGAGGCACACACAAAGCATGAACTTTCGCACAAATCACCCATCGACATTGATGCATGATTTATGTGAAACATCACATTTTCAATGCGTATATTTAAAACATTTGGATTCGGACCATATTTAGTACATTTTCCAGGATATAGAATATATACAGTGTATACACCCATGAAATTATCTACTACAATGAATGATTAATCTATCTATAGTAAGTGTATTAAAGAGTGAACGCAGCTATAATCAAACGCTCTCTTTCAACAGCTCAGGTTTTGGCCATAATAAAAAGATTACTTTCGGGGAGGATTATATGTTACAGCATTGGTAACCCTGAGGAAACCAGAGAGAGACTTTCCAAGTATAAAGGAGTGATTTCAGCGTGTTAAAGCCCTTTACTTTGAACCGGGGGCCTGCAAAGCTCTCAAAGATGATGGAGAGCAAATGAGAGCGGGTTGAAAAACACAGCGACAGCCATCCTCGGTGCTAGAGAATAAAATGCTGGAGGCTGCGGTCAAGTTGGAACCTATTCATTATAAACATTTATGTTCCGTAGTGGATTGGGGAATGAACAAAAAAAAACTTCTGACACTTTATCTTGTTATGTTTTCGTTGCGCATTCTTTGTTATTTTTGCCCAGAGTGAAAAGAGCTATCCCTTTTCACTGGCCTGTGCCAGACGTAGGGAGAGCAATAAAAGACAAACTAAAAAGCAATTCAAACATTTCTTGGAGGAACAGTTGGGTTTTTCATGGGCTTTGCAACAATCTCAGTGGAGCAATCCTTAACGCGATGGAGGGAGGGAAAATTCTGATTACCCCAACTGGACTCATAGTTTCTCTATGATTGGTGCCCCAGTAGAGCAGTTTAAACCCCCCTAAACGGAACAGACCATTAAGGCCCCCCAAATACTAGAACGGGCCATGTTGGCTACAGAAAATAGGTACACAGCCACACACACACGTACTCACACACACAAACACACACACACACACAAACTTGTCATATACACATTGCAACAAACATACTTGTGTCGAGGGAGTCAGTGCCATTTGTTGTCTCCAGAGGTATCCGCTCAGTCACTGCTAACAGGTCATCTACAGAGAGAGGGGACACTGGTTAGGAAACCTGCTGAATGGATAGCCTCATACTGTAGGCAAAGGAAAAAAATGGTTTCTGAGTAGCCCCCCCCCCCCCCCCACACACACACACACACACACACACACACACACACACACACACACACAGACACAGACACACACCCTCCTGGGTAGCAGTACAAGCCTTCATTGAGAGTTTTAAAACAGACATGGAGCTGTGTCCACACCAGGACTCTGCAGGAGGGCAACAGAACAGGCAGCTCATTTCTAAACACACTAACAGGAATCAACATCATGTTTGTCCAAGTCCCAACTGTACTGATATAAAGAGCCCTGTACCGGAAGCATCAGGCAGACCTATTAGGAAAAGCCTAATGGTACGATCACTGTAGAAGATACACAAGCAACTGATCACTAATATGTGAAAAGCTGGATACGTTTTAGCCTATTGCTTTAACACGTATAAAGTCATTTGAAATCAGTGATCGTGAAGGAAAGGAGGCACATAGAGGATGCTATTTGGAACTACTGGGACCCAACCAGAGACAGGTAAGGTCTGATGACATCACACAGCCAGGAGACACGGCCATTGTTGATGACATCACACAAGTGTCTCTCTCACCTGGGCATCTGTCCAGGTCGCAGGTCCGGGACTCGGTCGCCGTGCACGCGTAACCACAGGAACGGATACGTTTCTGGTTGCCGTGACCACATGTGACGCTGCACGGCGACCAGTCGCTCCACTCCTCCTCCTCATACTCTGAGATGGAGGGATGGAAACAAAACAAAGGGGTATATTAGAGGAGTGCGGTATGTCTTTGAAGTGAGCCTAGTGAATTCCTCACCCAGCTGGTGAGAGGGTTATGCAATAAAGCAGCAACGACCAAACATGTTTGGAGCTACAGTAGAGCGGGCATCTGTCAGCTCTAACATGCATACATACGCCTTCTTCAATGTGCTGGTTGTGGCAGGAGCAACGGAGTATCTTAGTATCTCAGAAACAACATAGAACAAAGTAGAAACCAGGAACACCCGTGTCTTGGAGCAGACCAAAAGACCAAACTTCAAAAGGCTGAGAAGGCTTTAAAGAGGAATGAGAGTCTTTTTCATAAAGCTGTAGCTAGTGTCTGTCATTAACTTCACTAAGGCTGTAGCTAGTGGCTGTCATTAAATTCACTAGGGCTGTAGCTAGTGGCTGTCATTAACTTCACTAGGGCTGTAGCTAGTGGCTGTCATTAAATTCACTAGGGCTGTAGCTAGTGGCTGTCATTAAATTCACTAGGGCTGTAGCTAGTGGCTGTCATTAAATTCACTAGGGCTGTAGCTAGTGGCTGTCATTAACTTCACCAGGGCTGTAGCTAGTGGCTGTCATTAAATTCACTAGGGCTGTAGCTAGTGGCTGTCATTAAATTCACTAGGGCTGTAGCTAGTGGCTGTCATTAACTTCACTAGGGCTGTAGCTAGTGGCTGTCATTAAATTCACTAGGGCTGTAGCTAGTGGCTGTCATTAACTTCACTAAGGCTGTAGCTAGTGGCTGTCATTAAATTCACTAGGGCTGTAGCTAGTGGCTGTCATTAACTTCACTAGGGCTGTAGCTGGTGGCTGTCATTAACTTCACTAGGGCTATGGTATGGCGCTTTAGAAAAGTGTTTCTCAATCCTGGTCCTGGGGACCCAAAGGAGTGCACATTTTGGTTTTTGCCTTAACACACCCGATTCTAATCAAAGGCTTGATAATGAGTTGCTTATTTGAATCAGGTGTGTTAATGATAGGACCGGGAATGACAAACACTAGTCTAGGACCTACTTTAGCTAGTTCCACTGTATGATATCTATAACAGAGATAACCGTACCTGCTATAGACATACTTTTTTGATTCTTTATTAATGACCTGCCACTGGCTCTGAGTAAAGCCTGTGTGTCTATGTATGCTGATGACTCAATCTCCACAAAATAAAACAGAAACTGTACCTGCTATATTCTGATCTAGGACCTGTCAAATAAAGTGAATCTCCTTATCAGAAACAGACACCAACCTGCTATATTCTGATCTAGGACCTAAAGTGAATCTCCTTATCAGAGACACCCTCTGTACCTGCTATATTCTGATCTAAGACCTGTCAAGTAAAGTGAATCACCTTAACAGAGACAGACACCAACCTGCTGTAAACTGATCTGGAATCTGTTTGTCTCTGTCTCAGTGAGACTCCATCCCACCGCCAGAGACGCTTAACTGCTCCCCTCAGTTTCCACACAGAAGTTAATGACGCGTGAATTAATATTGCATATTTTTCAGGAAAGTATAATCTCGCTAATGATCAGGATATTGGGCCAGTTGGCAGGCTAGGGTGTGTGTGTGTCTGTCTGTGTGTGTGTGTGTGTGTGTGTGTGTGTGTGTGTGTGTGTGTGTGTGTGTGTGTGTGTGTGAGCATGCATGTCTATGTACCAGTGTGTGTGTGTGCGTGTGTGTGTGTGTGTGTGTGTGTGTGCATATGTGGACGTGTGTGTGCCATTGTGCATGTGTGTGGGCACGCATGCGGGCATGTGCATTTGCCAGCGTGTGTGTGTTTCTCTTGGTTGTAATAAATATGTCAATGGCAAATTCAGCAGCTTACAGCAGAGTGAACAGAGCCAAGACAAACAGTGCCCCAGGACAGCTAGCCCTGTACTAGGCTAGCTAATAGGTTTTCTGTTTCTGTAATGAACAATCAGTTCTTTCCCCGTGTTAAAAAGATGACAGACTTAGTGGCGGGATGGAGGAAGAGAGAAAAGAAGGAGAGACGCAGGAAAGAGAGAGACAAACAGCGAGGGAGAGCAATGGAAAAGATGAAGAGATAGAGAGGGAGAGGGTGACAATGGAAGAGAAAGGGCAAGTGGAAGAAGATGGACAGAGGGACACATGCTAGGTAGGACAAAGGGAGAGTTGGCGCAAAAGCAGAGCCAGAAAGAACATACTCAATAAAGTGATCAAGGGATGGAGCGAGAGAGAAGAAAGGAGAAAAATGAGAAGAGAAGAAAAGGAGATTAGTTCATCCAGCCTCCTGCTGCCTCTCCTCCAGTTAATATGTTTTTGGCTCGTTGCCGTTGGTTGCTAGTTTGGGGCTAATTGTGAGCTCTGGGCCTGGTGTTGAATGAGATGGAGCCTTCTCCTGTTGGCAGACTACAGTGTGTGTGTGTGTGTGTGTCTTGAAGGAGCCTTCTCCTGTTGGCTGGCCAAGTAAAACAACACAGAGGTGTGGATGACATGCTGCACTCCTCCACTCACTAACACTAATCCTGGAATGCTCTGTAGTCTCTGTAGCCACACACACTCACACACACACACACACTCACACACACACACACACACACTGTCTCTCTTCCCGTCTTGTTCTTCTTTCTTTCATTCTGTTTCCTTCTCCCTCTTCCTCCTTGTCATCCCTCTCTCCCTCTCTCCATGTCGCTTTCTCTAAATAAACCCAACTCCAACTCTCCCTTTCTCGCTCTCTTTCTTTTAGCCATCCTCTGCTCAACACACAAGATGGATTTGTATGCTAAGGGTGTGACAAAACTAAGCACATAACATACATTATCGGTTCCTTAAATGTACAGTGCCAAATATAAACAAATAAGGTCTCCTTTATGGAACTAAGTACTGTGTACACATTTAGACGGCCATTTCATGACCTGCACAACATATAGTCATTTAGCGGTCGGTTTGATGTACAGCACTGAGTATACAAATGTAACTGCTTATTACTGTAAGTAGAGCCCACATGAAGATGGTGGGAGTGGGTTTGATCTAACAGATCTAGAAGTGTGTGTGTGTATTTGCGTGCCTGCATGCGCTTGTGTGTGTGTGTATGTGTGTGTGTGTTGACATCATTGCAGTGGTAATACTGTGATCACAGGCTAAGGGCTGGGTGGAAGACCTGACCACACAACAACACCACAAGCACTCTCAAAGTATGCTGGGAGAACAGTGCGAGAGAGGGATAGAGATTTTGGGGAAGGGAAGAGTAAATTAAGCTTGCCGTTAAAAAGAGGGACCCACTAGCCCCTCAACAAAACACCAGCCCTCCCTCCTCCACCGCCTGAAAGCCTGTGCTACCCCCCTCTCTGCTGTCTAATTGAACACAAATAAATATTAGTTGATTGGCCAGGGGTTTGTGAGGAGACACCATTCCACCATTACCCTGAGGTTCAAATGCCTGTGCTATCCCATGGACCAGCGTCAACTACAAAGGACACACACACACACACTTCAAAGGACACACACAATGGCCTGATGGTTGAGCGCTCACTTTCTCATTCTCTCCCTGAGCCTGGCCTCATGCTCTCCATCTCTTTCTTTCTCCCCCTTTCATCTCTCCAGTCCACTAGCTTTATCTTTTGCCCTGTTATTATCTGACCTGTATTCTCTCATATCTTGTCTTTTATTTAATTTTTTTGTGACATTATTATTATTATTTTTATTTTTTTCCTAGGGGGGTAACAGGTACATTATCCATTTCAAATCAGAAATGTATAAAACCAGTACCACTCAAAAAAACAAAAAAAACATTCAGAAATACATAGAGTTTAATAATACATAATACATTCAGTGTGAACAGGAAAACAAAACAAAAAAGAAGTGGGCCTCCACCCCCAACCTCCCATCCCATTCCCCAACCCAACATGTCTCCATCCAACCCCCCCACCACCCAGACAATGGCTGCCTGTCTGCTGTGGATACGAGAATAGTAATAATCTATCAGAGCTCTTTCGGCAGAGCGCTACCGACAGAGCAGAGCCGTAGCACTGTGGGCTGACTGGTCTCACTTAGAGGTGACTGCCTACTGATCAGGTTAACAGCATTAGAGGGCTGTTAGCTAGTCTGGTGGCTAACTGCTACTGTCAGAGAGAGAGAGAGAGAGAGAGAGAGAGAGAGAGAGAGAGAGAGAGAGAGAGAGAGAGAGAGAGAGAGAGAGAGAGAGAGAGAGAGAGAGAGAGAGAGAGAGAGAGAGAGAGAGAGAGAGAGAGAGAACACTAAAACAACCAACCAAACACGTGGAACACAGAGCCAGAGCCAAGAACTGAAGCTCTTCCAGAGGGCTTAATGAATGAGCTTGAGGATTGACAAGCAGAGTTCAAGGTTCAGACAGATTATAACTACCTGAGGTGAATTACGGTCTTCCCGAAAATGTTCCTACCTTCATCATTGAATGCAGCCCTGTGACTTGACTACTGTAATAATACTAAAATGGCCATATTATTTCAGTTATAATATGATCCACATATTAACATAGTTAGCTATAGTTATCCCTGGAAGGGACGGGAGAGGATAAGGAAAGGCTTTAACGAGTAGTAGACATCAAGTCTGTAAGAGCATGTCTTTGGCAGTTTTCACTATAAAGATCAACCTTCTTAGATGTCTTATAATGGGACATAATGACCATCAAAAGCAGCATTTCTAAAGAGGCTAACCTACAGGCCTACAGTATACAATATCAAGTTTATAGTAAGTTAGTTCTTGATCTTTAAGTTCTTGGAACGTAAATCCAAATCTCTAGGATGTCAACAAACACCTCTAATTGTCTCCCCAGTAGACAGTAGGTCTAAACATTCAACAATCTAATCATCTTTCATACCATGAACATGACTTTATCCAAGGTGAACACAGTACACCTCACAGGCCAAGTCCAGCCTGTTCCTCCCTCTCCCTGGCTGACTGTTTACAACTGATAGGCATCAGAGAGGTGAGGGAGGGAGAGTTTGGAAGACTCAGGGAGGGAGGGAGGGAGGGAGGGAGGGATGGAGGGAAGGAGGTAGAGAGGGAGGGAGTTGACATGTTTATGTAGGACCTTGAGAGAACAGCCTCTAATCATAAATCATGTCGGAGGAACAGAGGGTAAGGCAGAGGGAGATGGAGGGGGGAGAAAAGGAGAGACAGAGTGGGGACGGAGGCCCGTATTGCTGTCTCTGAACCCTGCGGAGGAAACTGTCAGGACCAAGACAGCTCGCCACATACATGCCCTGACCCCTGACCCCTGACCCCAGAACCATACACAAACACCAGCCCTCTCTCAGATTTGTGATCAGATAAGGGACACCAAACAAACAGGAGGAACCCTCTTCTACAATAGAAAGGTACAGTAACAATACACAAGCCATACATTCTCTTAGAAACCTTATCTAACCATTGTCGAAGAAACTAAAGGGCCAAAACTTCTGCTTCCTGTGGGGTGATTTTAAAAAGGTGTCTTTTTAAGAGGATGTTATTTACATTTACATTTAAGTCATTTAGCAGACGCTCTTATCCAGAGCGACTTACACATTGGTGCATTCAACTTAGGATAGCCAGTGGGACAACCACATCTTGATCACAGTAAGTACTTCAAATAAGCAGCTGTGAGCAAAGTCAGTGCAATCAGCGACAACTACATCTCGATCACAATAAGTACATTTCTTTAAACAAGTCAGTGCTAGCAGGTGAAATGAACATAGTGCCCTCGTTTGAGTGTAGGGTCTGATCAGAGCCTGAAGGTAAGGAGGTGCCGTTCCCCTCACAGCTCCGTAGGCAAGCACCATGGTTTTGTAGTAGATGCGAGCTTCAACTGGAAGCCAGTGGAGTGTGCGGAGGAGTGGGGTAACGTGAGAGAACTTGGGAAGGTTGAACACCAGACGGGCTGCAGCGTTCTGGATAAGTTGCAGGGGTTTAATGGCACAGGCAGGGAGCCCAGCCAACAGCAAGTTGCAGTAATCCAGACGGGCGATGACAAGTGCCTGGATTAGGACCTGTGCCGCTTTCTGTGTAAGGTAGGGTTGAATTTGCAGTGCATCGTCCAGGTAGGTTGTGGTGCTACACATTGGTACACATTGGGTGTTTTGCAAATTGGAGCATGGGAGGGTAGGAGTATGAGTCCAAATCAAAGCATGTGAAAAGGAGCTCGGAGGGCACTTCTCGGATGTATACTCTGTTTGTATATATTTTGAAGCATACATCGATGCAAGCTGCAACCGAAAGTATGCACAGAAATATGAAGCAACCACGTAAAAAATTATGTAAAATGTATTGAAATCAATGGCCATTATTTGAGCTGAAGCGAGAGAAAATAAACTCTGACTTCAGAATGACATGTTGCCCATTCACATCTCATATGTTTCCTGACTACATTATTTGATCTTGATACGTTAAAAAATACATTCTGTGTTAATTTTGGCATGTTTACCTGCCTACAATCAAATAAAATCAAATTGTATTGGTCACATACACGTATTTAGCAGATGTTATTGCGGGTGTAGCGAAATGCTGTAGTGTGTGCAGATGCTAGCCATGTCGTCCAAAAAGTTATACTTTTGAATCATCTGTCCATATAACGTTGTTACAAGAGTCTTGATGATCATCCAGGTGCTTTTTGGCAAACTTGAGTCAACTTTTTGGATGAGATGGGTCCCATTATGCCTGGCGAAAACCAAACACTGCATTCCACAGTAAGAACATCATACCAAAGGTCAAGCATGGTGGTGGTGGTGTGATGGTTTGGGGATGCTTTGCTGCCTCAGGACCTGGACGACTTGCCTTAATAGAAGGAACCATGAATTCTGCTCTGTATCAGAGAATTCTACAGGAGAATGTCAGACCATCCATCTGTGAGCTGAAGCTGAAGCGCAGCTGGGTCATGCAGCAAGACAATGATCCAAAACACACAATCAAGTCTACATGAAAATTGCTAAAAAGCAACAAATTGGAAGTTTTGGAATGGCCTAGTCAAAGTCCAGACCTAATCCCAATGGAGATGTTGTGGCAGGACTTGAAACGAGCAGTTCATGCTTGAAAACCCACACGTCACTGAGTTAAAGCAGTTCTGCATGGAAGAGCGGGCCAAAATTCCTCCACAGCGACGTGAGACACTGATCAACAACTACAGGAAGCATTTGGTTGGAGTCATTGCAGCTAAAGGTGGCACAACCAGTTATTGAGTGTAAGGGGGCAATAACTTTTTCACACAGGGGAATTGGGTGTTGCATAACTTTGTTTATGAAATAAATGAAATAAATATGTGATTGTTGTGTTATTTGTTCACTTATGTTCCCTTTATCTAATATTAGGTTTTGGTTGAAGATCTGATAACATTCAGTATCACAAATATGCAAAAGTAGAGAAAATTAGAAAGGGGGCAAATACTTTGTCCACTTTGACAAACATGTTCAGTCAGCACAGAAGAAGCTACACCCGAGGAAAGCTCAATTAATCCAACTGGCGTTATATAAGAAGATTTCAGGGAGAATTGAATGATTACTCAGGAAGTTCCACAGAGCATCAAGGAGGCTGCAACTCTTTTGAAAAGGTAAGATTGAAACAATCTAGCTGGTTGTTTTTTTATCAAAATCTTGCTTTAGTGTGTTGGGCACTGTCCATGGTGCTGATAGAGTACAGCGGCGATTTCGTGCCATTGAACCTGTCATGTCTTGGTCAAAAGCATTTGAACTTATATATTTATTTTGGTATAGCATGATATCAGCAGAATTCAATGTAACTCCAATGCAAGAACCCAAATGACGCGCCTGGGTATAGCTACATATCGGTATGATTCGTCATAGAAATAGATACATTCTATTATGGTTTTCTTGGTAGCCTATTGGTTTTCGTTGCTGTAAATGGAACTGTATGTATTGGAAACGTGTTTATGGTAGGCTGGCATTGCTTAATTGATTACATAGGTCGAATTTGATTCACAGAAGTGTATTGTGCCATATCACAGCGTGTTGCTGAACTCATGAGCGAGTGGCTTGATTTTCCATGTTTGAAGCGGGCCTGTATAGGCCTATTTATTTGGCAAGACAGCTGTGCATGGCTACATGTCACTATAGTAGGCTGTAGCCTATGTTTTGGTTATTTGGATCTCCATTCGCCTTTTGTTTACTACGTTTGTTTACTGTTAATGTAACTAGCCTAAATATAGATTTTGTCATTCCTTTATCGATCTGATATTTTGTTAACTAGGTCTACTACTTGGTACCACTGTTTTGTTCATTCGCATTTGCAGTTCGTCTGTATTGTAAGCCAAACTGCAATTCAGTATTTTGTTTGCATGCATGAATAACTAGGCTACTACTTTCAGCATTTAGTTAGCATTATTTTAGATTGACAGCTGTGTGCACAGCTGCATTCACATAGGGCAATTCATCTATTACAAACAGCCTATCTATCTTGTAGCCTATATTCATTACCAGGGCCTTTTCCATTGTGCTGATAGAGCGCAGCAGAGACAGGCTACAGATTTCAAAAGCACTCAATGATCTCAGTCTAGGCATTTTAACTTGATGTTTATTGTCATATAAGTAGAATTCAATATAATTCCAATGCAAGAACCCCCCCAAAATTGGCCCCTTCGCCTATTTCAACTTCCCCCCTAGTCACGTTATTCTGGTGCCAGGACTGAGCCCATAGTAAGTCAATAGGGCTAACTGGCTAACTTCTACTGTTAGCTAGCTAGATAGCCACGAAGAATTGGCAGCTAGCTACCCACGAAGAATTGATATCTACCTTGCATAACATTAGTTTCATGTAATTTTTGCCTGTTTAACTATCTGGCTAGCTAGATTATAACAATTCACATACGGCTAGCTGATAATTATGAAGTAAAATGTTTGATTTGTGTATATCTTGTTCCATCTTGTTGCCATTGTCCTGGCTGGAAAAAAAAAGTTGATGTGTATGTCCAGGTGCAGCGTGAGGTAATACACTAAGGGGAGTGTGAGTGCTTGTCAAATGTAATGTTTTATGCGTTTTCCACACTCTCGTCCTCACAAGAACATACTCAAGAGAACGTCCTCGGAGAATGCACTTGGAGCATGAGAGTGTGGAGCACGGTAGTATGCATATTGAGAAACACCCATGATTCTGCTGAATTGTTCCTTCTTTATCTGTCATTTCATGATAATTACAACAACAAAAACATTAAATCATAAAAAACTTACCGTAGTTCTCCTTGGAGTCCCATCCCTTATTGCTGCTCCAGTGGCTGCCCCAGCCGCCCCCCACCCCTGTCCCCACCCCAGTCCCCCCAGTCCCACTAAGCACAGGATCCTGCTCCTCAGGGTCATAGTTATAGTCCTCTGTGGGCTGCTCCTGTTCCTCCAGGCTGGCCCTGCTGCCAGGCCCGCTCTCAGTCTCAGCCTGGTCTGGGTACTCCCAGAACAGGGGCCAGAACAGCTTCTTGTGGCCCAGCCACTCCTCCGATGACAGGGACCAGTCGTTGCGGCCCCCCTCCCCCCCCTCCTTGGCCAGGTCCATCTCCATCTCCGTCTGTGGGTCCTCCACCACCTCGATGGTCACCTGGTGGTGAGGGGGGAGGCGAGAGAGAACAAGAGAGACAGAGAGACAGAAAGACAGAGAGAGAGCGAGAGAGAAAGAAAGAGAGAAAGAAAGAGAGAGACAGAGAGACAGAGAGAGCGTGAGAGAGAGAGAGAGAGAGAGAGAGAGAGAGAGAGAGAGAGAGAGAGAGAGAGAGAGAGAGAGAGAGAGAGAGAGAATACACTATGAAAGAGATTTTGTGAGCTATAGGTTTAAAATGAAATACTTCTTTCAACGCCTTGAACAACATGCCAATGCCAAACACACATGGCTTTTGCACCCTTCTCAACATGTGTGTACTAACTAAATACTAATTCAAGTGATAATCCCAGGTCTCCAGTCCTCCTTTCATGTATAAAATATTGCATTCTGTGAAATCACAAGTGAATAATGTGAAACCTTTATAAAAGTGAACCTTTCTACAACTGGGAATAGAGGGTGTGATTTCACACTTCACAATTATCCTCAGCAAATTGTAACAAAATCATAGAGTAAATTGCCTCTGGACCAGACCTGTTGCCAAGAGTAACATTCAACACAATTGCTTGTGTAATCTTATGGAGTCTTACAGGCAGCATCCCAAATGGCACACTATTCCCTATATAGTGCACTACTTTTGACCAGGACTGATAGTAATGCACCATATAGGGAGTAGGGTGCCATTTGGGGCGCAGGCAGGTGTCACAGACTCTGGTGCGGTTGATGGCCAGTAATTATTGAACACACAGTACTTTCCCAGATGATGGTAAAACAGCCATGACTGTAGAGTAATACTGATAACACATCACATACACTGGCCACAAAACTGCTTCTGTAACTGTAGTCACAGCAATCGAAGGCAGGCTAGCAACGGTATGAAGGGAATGCAACAGAAGTTAAAGAAACTATAGCAATAGGAAAACAACCCTTCCAGTACTGTATGTGGTATGTACTTCCTGGTGAAAATATGACTAGGACCAGGTGTTTTTCCTGACCACATGACCTCACAAGGAAAAACTCTGGGTCCTAGTTATACCGGCAATAACAACTAGAGACCAGATGTTTCCATAGTCATGCCACGTGTTCAGGAAAAACTCCACTGTCCACTGTCCACTAACATTACCATTCCACTACCGTTACCATTCCACAAGCATTACCATTCCATTAGCATTACCATTCCACTAGCATTACCATTCTACTAGCATTACCACTCCATTAACATTCCACTAACATTGCCATTCCACTAACATTACCATTCTATATACTAACATTACTATTACCAACATACTGCTTCTACTGTAAACAACCTAACATCTACAGCATCAGCCCCAGACGGGCAACAATGTAAGGGCAAAAAATAACATCTTTCAAACATTGTAAAGAAAAATAAACAACCCCCTTCCACCCCCGTCTGACAACATGGTCTGTTCCGCCCCAGCCCTGTTGCCTTGGTACCAGTCTGATGTCTTATCTGAACCCACTGGATTCTTGGGACGAACCAACCAGGGTACTGAGGGAAGCGGGTGTGTAGGTAGGTAGGTTTGTAGACAGCGTGTCCAGGCACATGTGATGAAGGGAGAAGGAGGGAAGGTGGTTGGGGAAGTAGGGAATGGACAGAGGAAGCTGGAGAGATGGAGGGAGGTAGAGGACAGTGCGGAAGAGTGAAAAGGGATGGCGGGAGCGGGGGAGTTAGACTGAGAGCATGGTAGAGTGGGGGTGTAAAGGGAGGTGTATAGGTAGAGGGAGGGAGAAAGCAGGATAGAGAGGGGTAGAGAAGCGAGGTGGAGTAGGGGAGTGATAGAAGGAGTGAGGAGTGGGATAGGGGTGTGTGGTGGTAGAGAGGAGAGGGAGGGAGGGGTAGCTAGAGATGGAGGAAGCAAGATAGAGGGATAGGGGATAGACTGATAGACTACCTCCCTGTCCCTGCCACGAGCCCGCAGGTCCAGACAAAGGCATGGTTGTTTATGCTTCTGCTAGTAGTTACCATCTGATGGCTGCTACAACTGTTTATAAAGACAACCCACTGGCTAAAGACACAGATTAGGACGGTGAGTCATGGCTACTAGTCTTATGCTTCTCAGACCCTTAGCATCATCTTTCTCTCCCTCTCCCTCTCCCTGTCTCTCTCTCTCTCTCTCTCTCTCTCTCTCTCTCTCTCTCTCTCTCTCTCTCTCTCTCTCTCTCTCCCTCCCTCCCTCTCCCTTTCCCTCTCTGTCTCTATCTCTCTCTCTGTTGACAATAATTGTCAATAGACCAACAAGTCAAGGAAGATTCATATATAAAAATATGACTATGCTTGATTTAAAAACCAATGTGTGAAGTAGTAGGATTCCAAGGGGCAAAGAGAGGAAATAGACAGCCCACTGAATGGCTCTTCCTAGTTGTCAGTAGGGTGAAGTTGGACTGTAGCGTAGTGTACTGTATAAGACCTCTGCATATTGAAGCTGAGCTCCTCCCGCCTGTCTGAGCGGTAAGTGGAGGAAGTGTATTAGGCCTAACTACGACCCATTATAGGCTGTGACTCATACATTACTGTGGATCTGAAGGACAGGCACTTCCAGTATTAATGCCGCAGACAAACCATAGGGAACTAAGCCACTCCAGTAAAATAGTTCCTGTGTATTGTCAATCAGGAGATTGTACTATACAAAATGTTGGTAATTTGTCAACGATGAAGGGAAGAGCGGCCAGTGTTTGTGTGCGTGTGTATATATGCAAGACAAAACTATTTTAACACCATTATTTATATTTGGATGCATTTGGTTCTATTTGGTTCTATTCTATTCTACTCTATCGTTGTATTCTATTCCCCATAGTGTGCCAGTACAGTCTGGTACGGTTCACTCAGTTTGTCACGCTATGACCCTCCACAGTCAAAACCAATGAATTCCAGCCGACGTGATAACAAGGTAAAAAGCCCACTAAAGCAACCAAGGATATTAGCCGCTGGCTCCCAAAGAAAGACTTATAAAACCAAATAGCTTTGTCTGGTTCCTATAGACTAGAGGAGGATGGCCCAATCCCACTTGGATGAAGAACACATTTTCCTTGTTATAATAATGAGGCGCTTTCAATTTCTGGATACCTGGGCTTCTCTTGTGTCAGTTTTTCCCCAAAGTCTAACTTAATTTCCTTTCAAATCCACTTGCACACATAAACCCTCCGCAATAACACTAAAAATAAAATAAATGTTTTTTTTCATACTTTAGTATAAAAAAGCACCTTTGAGATAATCGAGATCTGCTGCGCATGGAGAGCACATTAAAAAGTGTTTGTTAAAATAATGCGGTGACCTCTCACCCCTTAGATTTGGCTTTCTTTCAGTTTTTTCTCTGCCCTCTCCCTAAACCCTATGCAGATGTTCAAGCATCATGGCAGACTTGAAGCACCCCACTGTAAAGGTCTCGCATGGGGAAATTTAAGAGGCCGCTCCGACTCAAAACAGCTGTGAAGAAAGATGGGAGGGGGAGTCAGTGTATGTGCATGTGTGTGTGCATGTGTGTGTGTGTTTGTCTGCGTGTCTGTGTGTACATGCGTGTGTGTGCCTGTGTGTGTGTGTGTGTGTGTGTGTGTGTGTGTGTGTGTGTGTGTGTGTGTGTGTGTGTGAGTTTGCATGTGTGTTGGGGTGATACAATGAGCTTTAGAGCAAACGCCCCACCTCCCTTCTTTTTCTGGAGTCCCTGCAGCCTCTTACAATAATAACAAGAAAGAAATGAAAGGGATAAATGAACAACTTAATGAAATGCAAGGAAAACAGAGAGCCTTATAAACTCCACTGTTGGCCAGTGGTTCACAGTGTGTTTGGTAGCAGCGATCAGATATGAGACACCACTAGAGGAATACAGTCTCTAACCCTAATAAATACTGCCTTTCGCCCAGGACTAACTAGGGAACTCAACTGTGTGTGTGCTTAACTTGAATGATGTGCATGATGTACACAGAAGTCTCTGAGTTCTAGTTAGCATTCAGCCCACTTTAAAGAAAGTAACTTCCTTGCCCCATACAGTAACTGTTTCCTTCTGAACTTACTCAGTTAAGAAGAACATGAGTTATTAAGTGTTTTTCGTGCTGGATCGAAACATGGTACACTCTTAGAAAGAAATGTGCTATCGATAACCTAAAAATGGTTATTCGGCTGTTCCCATAGGAGAACCCTTTGAATAACCCTTTTTGGTTCCAGGTAGAACCCTTTTGAGTTCCATGTAGAACCCTTTACACAGAGAATTCTACATGGAACCCAAAAGAGTTCTAGCTGGAACCAAAAAGAGTTCTACCTGGAACTAAGAATAGTTATCCTATGGGGACAGCCAAAGAACCCTTTTGGAACCCTTTTTTTCTAAGAGTGTACCTTCCCCTGGATTCAATAATTTGATGAGCTACGTTCTGCTAGTTGGCTCCAGGGCAGGCACAGTTTGAGACTAACACCTTTCCAACCATACATTGTTATTACCCATCGGCTAACATTTACTAAAAGCACTCAATCCAGCAATCTGGTACCTCAGTTGTTTTCTGTTAACCTAAAGTCATTATGCTTCTAAATTACTCTAACATGCAGCCCTGTGAGAATTAGCTGTCGACCGGGCTTTGGCATGGCTCTCACATTATACAGAGAAGCTGGATTGCAAAACCAGGTGCAAAAGGTTGTCGCTGAATAAATTGGCTGTCAACAATAATGATGCATATGTGCAGGGCTGTGTGTGTGTGTGTGTGTGTGTGCATCATTGTTCTGGAGCTGCCATTAAAAACATCCTGAGATCTTTGCTGTGAATACTCTAGGTTTACTAAACTAACTATGTAAGCCAAGACAGTCATCCTTCCCTATGCCAGAGTGATAGGGTACTATAAAGCTTTGGGGTCATTGAGACAACGGTAAGATAGTAACATTATTACATTAAGCTTCCTTCCAATTCATCATCAATATAAAGATACAGACTTCATCCCAATGCTCTTCAATAGCTTCCTTTTCTTAACTTCTTCAATCAACACTAATGGTTGATCTAAAAACACTACTGGTAGATCTAAAAGGATCGTTGGATGGATGTAAGCAATACTGGAAACTCTACCTAGCCCATACAACCATAACATTGTCTGATATACTCTGATGTACTAAACAGAAGAGCTCCAGAGATACACTATATATACAAAAGTTTGTGGACAGACCTTCAAATTAGTGGATTTGGCTATTCAGCCACACCCATTGTTGACAGGTGTATAAAATCGAGCACACAGCCATGCGATCTCCATAGACAAACATTGGCAGTAGACTGGCCTTACTGAAGAGCTCAGTGACTTTCAATGTGGCACTGTCATAGGATGCCAGCTTTCCAACAAGTCAGTTCGTAAAATGTATGTAAAATCACTGTAAGTGCTGTTATTGTGAAGTGGAAAGGTCTAGGAGCAACAACGGCTCAGCCGCGATGTGGTAGGCCACACAAGCTCACAGAACGGGACCGGCGAGTGCTGAAGAGCGTAGAGCGTAAAAATCATCTGTCCTCGGTTGCAACACTCACTACTGAGTTCCAAACTGCCTCTGGAAGCAACATCAGCACAAGAACTGTTCGTCAGGAGCTTCATGAAATGGGTTTCCATGGCAGAGCAGCTACACACAAGCCTAAGATCACCATGCGCAATGCCAAGCATCGGCTTGAGGGGTGTAAAGCTCGCCGCCATTGGACTCTGGAGCAGTGGAAACGCGCTCTCAGGTGTGATGAATCACACTTCACCATCTGGCAGTCCGACGGACGAATCTGTGTTTGGCGGGTGCCAGGAGAACGCTACCTGCCCAAATGCATAGTGCCAACTGTAACGTTTGGGGGAGGAGGAATAATGGTCTGGGGCTGTTTTTCATGGTTCGGGCTAGGCCCCTTAGTTCCTGTGAAGGGAAATCTTAACGCTACAGCATACAATGACATTCTAGACGATTCTATGCTTCCAACTTTGTGGCAACAGTTTGGGGAAGGCCCTTTCCTGTTTCAGCATGACAATGCCCCTGTGCACAAATGCAAGGTCCATACAGAAATGGTTTGACTGGCCTGCACAGGAGCCCTGACCTCAACCCCATCGAACACCTTTGGGATGAATTGGAATGCCGACTGCGAGCCAGGCCTAGTCGCCCAACATCAGTGCCCGACCTCACTAATGCAGCAATGTTCGAACATTTAGTGGAAAGCCTTCCCAGAAGAGTGGAGGCTGTTATAGCTGCAAAACGAAGACCAACTTCATATTAATGCCCATGATTTTGGAATTAGTTGTTCGACGAGCAGGTGTCCACATACGTTTGGTCATGTAGTGTACTATGTAATACATAGCATAATATTTAATTATGTGTCCTCTCATACCTGTACATTAGGGTTTTGTAAACCTACCTGGGATGTGTAAACCTTTACATTTCTGCCATTTAGCAGGCGCTCTTATCCAGAGCGAGTTACAGGGGCAATTAGGGTTAAGTGCCTTGTTCAAGGGCACATCAGCAGTTGGCTCAGGGATTCGAACCAGCGACCTTTTGATTACAGGCCAAACGTCTAACCGCTAGGCTACCTGCACAACCCTACCTGTATATTAGGGTTGTGTAAACCTACCTGTATATTAGGGTTGTGAGATCCCAGGTCTGCGTTGGCCAGCTCAGGGAAGTTCCTGAGGTCCAGGATGAAGGGTTCTGGGTCCTCCTCTGGTTCTGGTTTGGGCAGAACCCCCTGGGACCAGCCACGGCGTCGGGGTCTCTGGGAGGACGGGTTGGATGATGCCAGACTCTGGAGCTGGTTCTGCTGCTGGAGATCCTCCAGAGTCTCACCCACATTGCCACCCGGGCTGGCCTGAGATATTGCCTAAAGAAAAAAGAGACAAATGATTATTTCATTTTTTCATGCATCACCTCATACAGGTTGATATTAGATGACAGTAGATGATCCATTGAGATGATAACTTGAGAGTAGGTATCTCTTTAACAAGAGTCCTGATGCAGGCCCATGTACCAGCTTTGTCCTATTGTTGCAACACTATATTTGGGATCAGAACATTTTCTCTGAATGTTTTTAAAATGTTGTGAAATGTTCAGAGACAATAATCTCATAAATGTTGATGTAAGATGACATTTCTGTGGCATTACAGAACATTCCACACATAGTTAGATAAGACTGAATGAACATGCTGAAGACTGACTGAATGAAGATAACATAGTTAGATAAGACTGAATGAACATGCTGAAGACAACACGAAATTAGCTAATTCAACATCATCACCTAACCGGAGGTGTATACTACAAAGCTAGATCTACTCAGGCTTTTCTAAAGCCAGCCAGCTTCACATTCTAGCTCAGGCTTCACCATGATGGTGGACATTGCTCATCCACCTGCCACTAACTCTAGCAGGCGCTCTTATCCAGAGCAACTAGGGTTAAGTGCCTTGTTCAAGGGCACATCAGTCAATTTTACACCTAGTCGGCTCAGGGATTCAAACCAGCGACCTTTTGCTTACAGGCCCAATGCTCTAACCGCTAGGCTACCAGCACAACCCTACCTGTACATTAGGGTTGTGTAAACCTACCTGTACATTAGGGTTGTGTAAACCTACCTGTATATTAGGGTTGTGTAAACCTACCTGTACATTAGGGTTGTGTAAACCTACCTGTATATTAGGGTTGTGAGATGCCATGTCTGTGTTGGCCAGCTCAGGGAAGTTCCTGAGAACATTCCATACGAAGCAAGTATACTACGAAGCAAGCTAGATCTACTCAGGCTTTTCTAAAGCTAGCCAGCTTCAGTTATCTTCACATTCCAGCTCAGGCTTCATCCGTACTACGATGGTGGATATTGCTCGTCTGCCTGCCACTAACTCTAGCAGGCTTGTCACTGCGGGTGCATGTCGCACATGGCTAGTCGAACGCTGAACTCTTCATTGAAACAATGCTGAAACATCAATCCATGGCCGAGTCAGTGCCACATTTTAATTTGTGTCGAAATCAAAATGAAAGAATATTTATTTTGCCATTTCAGCAGGCTATTGTGTCAAATAGGCAGTCTTTATGTTATTACTTATCGTTAATGCCATCTCTGGTGTGCTTTGCTTATCAATGCACAAGCACCTTTTTTCCCACTTCTATCGATATAACAATTATATTAAGTCATTGTATACACAAGTTTTACTTTGTGGGAAGTTTTAAATGCATTCTGTCATTTCTAAATGTGTAACGTGGTAGGTATTTTAACATTACTATTTTGAACACAAAAAAAAACATTTGATTAATAAAATATTTCATCAGTCGTCTTCCTCAAATGAAGGGGAATGATGACGCAATCTTTATGAGAGGGAGGAAATCTGATTTAATTGTTCCTCAACTTGCGGCTCAGACACTTGACTTTTAGCCTTGAGTTAGCCTGCCTGGGAGCAGGTTAGTTCTGAAGGATTCGTTTCCATAGAAATTAAACTGGCTAAAAGGTGAGCTACTTTCACGGTACCGGTTATCCCGAGTTGAGCTCAGAGTTGACCAATGTTACCTCGGTAACTGCTCAAACCTGATTCGTAGTATAGGGCTCAGATCTGAGAAAAAGCAAAACAAAGCAAAACAAAACACTTAACAGGATGGATGTTTCTGCACCATGCACTTTAGGGACCACAATGGAAACAAGTATCTGACTTTATTGTGCTATCTCTGTCACATGTTTAAAATGTATGTACTGTTTATACAGTATGTATTATTTTGATCAAACAGTCAATCAAAGCACATACAACAAAACTCAAGTCAAAGCCGTTTCACTCCACAAGGTATGTAGGTATCTTCAGTCAGTCAGTCAGTCAGTCTACATCACAGCTGGTTGGCGTTAGCAGTAATACCATCTACAGGGATAGAGGTCTGGAGGGAGTCCTGGGATGGTACAAGCAGGTAGAATATCACACACACACACACACACACACGCACACACACACGTACACATACACACGCATGGACTTATGCACACACACACAAATCTCCATCATCTGGTTTCCTTTAGTATGTAGTCCGTGAGTCTGGGCCAAGAGAGAGAGAGGCCTCTTGAGTCAACAACATCAAACCCAGCTGAGTCACTTGACACTGACTGTGCTTTGTCCGTCTGTCTCTTACCCATCACTGTCTTTCTGCATGGTAGGATATCACAATATATTATTATTATATATTAGGAGGTGAAAGGGGGTAGGGAATGAGGTGAGGGGAGGTAAGAACTGAGGAAAGAGGACGGAGTAGGGGAGATTGGGTAGGGGTGAGAGAAGGTAAGGAGGGAGGAGAAGTAAGGGAGAAAGGAGAGGGGTAAAGGAGGGGAGGAGGTAAGGGGGGGGGGGGGGCTGTGCTCAGCTCTGTGCTCTGCCTCTGATCAAAGCCTTCTATCCACTGATCATGTGTATCCTGCCTTGACTCACATCTCTGGCTGTGTCTCTAACACACGCAAAACAGATGTCCTCTCCCCAATCCCCTCCCCAAACCACCCATACATACATTCCACCTCCAACCCTCGGCTAGATTTCAGCATGACCAAAAACCAGAGGTCTGCAGCAGAGAAGGCCATTCATGGAACAGGTTTAGGTTGGGGCTTTACTTTAGCTGAGGTTGGATGTTAAAACAAATGTATCCCAGTAGTCATAACAAAGGAGCCTGCCTTTGAATGAATCAAAAACTGAGTTGGATACCAAGAACGCAACGTTCTGTGCCAGGAAGAATAACTATTAGTGGTGCATGAGTGGGTCTAGATTCACCAGGCACACGATACAATGAAAGCAAAGTTATTCCAGTCTTATTCCAGGGGGGGTTGAAGACAAGACCCCCATCACCAAGTGGCTCCCCTTTACTCCTTTCTCTCTGGATAACATAATGACAGGTCACATAAGCTACGTTTACACAGGCAGCCCAATTATTGGCAAAAGATCTTATCTGATTGGTCAAAAGGCCAATTAGTGGCAACAAGATCAAAATTGGGCTGCCTGTGTAAACGCAGCCCATGGTGACTGTTTGAGCTCCATAGGCTGTGTTTACACAGGCAGTCCAATTCTGATATTTTGCTTATTGGCAAAAGAGCGGATCTGATTGGTCAAAAGACCAATTAGTGGAGAATTGGGCTGCCTGTGTAAACGAAGCCATAATGTATGAATGACTGATGGTCGCCTTCATGACTTCCTCCACTCTCTCTGGACCTTTCACCTATCCCAGGTTGGAAGGAAACCGAAGAGCTAACTTAGTGGCAAAACAAAATAGTCCTGCTCAACTTTACACGACAGAGCCATTGGGATGTGACTCTCTGCGCTCTCCTCCATATTAACATTAACATCACCAAAGCAACCGATTCCACGGATGATTAAAAAAAGACATCTTTCATCCTCTCTGAGTGATTGAGTGTAAATTGGGTTGAGAGAACAGAGGTGAGAGAATAGAGCACAGGGGGATGGACAGGGCTCTCTGAATCCACTGCTTTAACACACACACACACAGACAACCACACAGAAAACACGAGAGAGAGGAGAGGAGAGAGGAGAGAGAGAGAGAGAGAGAGAGAGAGAGAGATGAGAAGAGAGATAGAGATAGCGAGAGCTAGAGAAGCTCGCGAGCTCGATCTCTCTACTCTTCTCTGCATCTCTCTCTCTCGTCTCTCTTCGTCTCTATCTCGAGAGAGAGAGAGACAGAGAGAGACAGAGACAGAGAGACAGAGAGTGAGACCAGAGAATTCTTGGAGATCCACAAGAGACATGGAGAGTTGGCCAGGAGAAACATCCCCTGGAAACCAACTAAGGCAATCATCAGAACAGAGACACACACTCTGGGGTAGGGAGGCCAGTGTGTGTGTGTGTGTGTGTGTGTGTGTGTGTGGGCGTGCGTGCGTGTGCGTATGTGCGTGTGCGTGTGGGTGTGTGTGTGTGGGTGTGCATGCATGCATGCGTGAGTGAGTGAGTGTGTGTGCGTATCTGTCTCGACGCCTGCCCGGAAACTGGCAGAAACTCTGAGAAATCTCTCATTGTCGGACTTATTTCTTCTTCTTCTCCTGCACCACGTTGGCGTGTAACTATCTGATTTGGTTGGCATTCCCTGATAGTATCACTTGCATAGCCAAGCGTGTTTAATCCTATCTCTTCAATAAAGCAGTCTTTGTGTATTCTTATTGCAAACACTCACTGTAGCTATTGGTAGCTCTGGAAAGATCGCTAACAAAGGCAGCCAGAGTCCAACAATAACACCTTGAATTACCAAACAAACCCAGAGTGGCCCAACAATAACATGTAGTGAAGCGTGTTACTTTACCAAACCACCGCTAGTGCTCTGCTGACCTTATAGTGTTTTAGAGAGATATGGTACCAAACAGGCACTTAAAACGTTACACAAACACAAGTTCATGTGTAGGCACATATTTGCACACACACACACACACACACTGGGCCACAGCTTTCTTTCTCATGACACCTTTGAGAGACATGACCTCCGTGCTTGGAGAAACAGAGGACAAATGGAACACATTATAGGAGGGGGACAACTGAGCAGGCCAGTCATAACTCAATAAAATAGATATATCTGATTGTTCTCCGAGAAGTGTGTGTGTTGTGTGTGTGTGTGGTGTGTTGTGTGTGTTGTGTGTGTGTTGTGTGTGTGTTTGTGAGAGATAGAGAGAGAGGAGAGAGAGAGAGAGAGAGAGAGAGAGAGAGAGAGAGCGAGAGAGGAGGCGAGAGCGGAGAGGCGAGCGCGTCTATCGCCGCCCGCGCGCGCTATCTCGCTAGCGAGAGAGGCAGCGCGCGCGCGTCTCGAGGAGACACTGTGTGTATTAATAACTCTGCCAGCTCTCTTTATTATTCCTGACCAGGCAGTTGTGCCGTTAAACACCTCGACGGACGGGAAGTGAAACCCAAGGAATGGACATCAAGATGAATATAAGCGGAGTGTGTGTGTGTGTGTGTGTGTGTGTCATAGTTCAGACAGTAAAAAAGAGCTGATGTAGACATTTCCATCTGTCTACATCAGACAGATCATGTGTACTCCCCCCCCCTCACACTGACACTTTGTGACTAATTGGAGTTCCATTAGTGACCTAAGGAACTAGAGTTGACTGTAAGACTTCTAAAGTCATGCTGTTATACCTCATATGAATGTGTGTGTGTGTGTGTGTGTGTGTGTGTGTGTGTGTGTGTGTGTGTGTGTGTGTGTGTGTGTGGTGTGTGTGTGCGTGTTTGTGTGCCTGCATGTGTGTGTGTTCTTTAGCACACCACACACTAACGCAGTTCCGTTGAAGCATTAGCTTATGTTTCTTCTTCATTAAAACCTGAAGCTGAGATTGCAGTGTGTACCCACCAGCATATGCAACCAGGCTATAGTTTCATACCTAGATTATGGTATACAGTTTCAGTTTAACCTCAATTAGGGCGTTGGACATTTGAGAGCTTTCCACTCCACACAGTCACCCCCTGCCACCATATAGAACAGCAACTTGAACTTCTGTACGGGACAAAGAATTTGGCACACTCCTCGAAATGTGGCATGGGTATCAGCTCCCCTCTAAGAGGGGGAACTGGCCGATCCTTCCAGGATTATTTGGTTGAACAATTACCAGAGCCTCTCAACCCAATTCTAACCCCCATCCCTGTTGCTTTGTCTCCACACACACATGCACATGAAAACATACACACACACACATGCACACACAGACATTACACTGAGGATAGAAAATATTAAGAACACCTGCTCTTTCCATGACATAGGCTGACCAGGTGAATACAGGTGAAAGCTATGAATGATCCCTTATTGATGTCACTTGTTAAATCCACTTAAATCAGTGTAGATGAAGGGGAGGAGACAGGTTAAAGAAGGATTTTAAAGCCTTGAGACAATTGAGACATGGATTGTGTATGTGTGCCATTCAGAGGGTGAATGGGCAAGACACAAGATTTAAGTGCCTTTGAACGGGGTATGGTAGTAGGTGCCAGGCACACCGGTTTGTGTTAAGAACTGCAACACTGCTGGATTTTTCACGCTCAACAGTTTCCTATGCATATGAAGAATGGTCCACCACCCAAAGGACACCCAGCTAACTTGACACAACTGTGGGAAGCATTGGTCCATATGGGCCAGCATCCATGTGGAACGCTTTCGACACCTTGTAGAAAAGTCCATGCCCCGACGAATTAAAGCTGTTCTGAGGGCAAAAGAATGAGGAAGGTGTTCCTAATGTTTGGTATACTCAGTGTACATGTACACATGCATGCTCACACATACACACATAAGAGAGTCACATCCAATATTGCTGCATACATTCCAGGCCAGAGTTTGGATAAGTAAGTAGTTGTTTGTGTGTAAAACAGGCGGTTCATGTAGCGTCCCTCAAGCGTTTAGCCTCGCCGGCACCCTCTGAGCAACGTCAACCCAACCGCTCTCTCACTTTAATAAAAACACATACCGCAGCATGCCAAAGAGACAGAGGGAGGGGTGAAGAAAGGGGGAGAGAAAGAGAGTGAGATAGAGAAGGGAGAGAAAGCGAGATCAGGATAGGGAGAGCTTGTGAGAGAGAGGAAGTCAGTGTGAGAAAGCGAGTAAGAAAGAGCATGTTTTCACCCTCGTCCTGCCATTGTTGCTTTCTAAACTGGCACTGTGCTACTTTTCGCCGATCATCAAATTCTCCAGAACATTCTTTCACCTTCTAGGCAGCTAGCAAGGTGTGTTTCTGGCCCCCTGCCGGGCCAATGGTGAGAGAGACCCCCGCTGTATCTAGTGATCTATAGGCCTCTTCTGTGAGGCTCAGTACATGGAAGCCTGCATGGGGGAGTTCCACAGTTATACTGTTATAGAGCTTAGCCATCTAATCAAAAGTCTTCATCTTCCACAAGAAAACAGTGGAGACATAAAATCAGTTTTATAAGAGGAGAAAGAGGACCTTTGTGAAAGGCGCTGCTTCCTTTATCAGGAAGTGCTGGTTGTCATGAGATCATGTAGAACATCTAGAGATTTCCCGGACCCAGATCGCACCTATTCCTGTACTAAGATTCATGCTCAATGGAGAATGTTAATCGAAAGCGCTTTTTAGTCTAGGGCACGGGACTGGGCCCAGAAAACTGCATGGCCTCTTGTGGACTGAGCCATTAATCAAAACTCTCGAGTTAACAGACAAACAGACAGACAGAATTAAGTCAGTGCTAGGGTGAAGGATATGAGGTTTCTGTGTTCCAGCGGTAGAAATATAAGAGGACCAATGAAATCAGATTCCCTCCCTCTCATCATCCCCTTCATTTGAGGAAGACTACTGACTAAATATTTGATTAATCAAATGTTTTTGTGTGTTCAAAAATAGAGCAATATCCACTATCGTAGTATGGATGAAGCCTGAACTGGAATGGGAAGCTACAGTAACTGAAGCTGGCTAGCTTTAGAAAACCCTCAGTACATCTAGCTTCAATCGTAGTATGTCCCTCTGGTCTTTACATCTCTCTAACTTAACTCAAAGAACATACACCGCAGCTCAGCTGGGCTTCATACAGCAGATCTTTACCATGTTGTTTATGTGTAATGAGGTATCGTGAATCAGAAAAAGAGAGGAGACAACAAAACTGAAAACTCGAAGCACCTGTGTGGAGAGAGAGAGAGAGAGAGAGAGAGGGGAATGAGGGTAACCCTTCATTTTTGCATTAACCCGATCTCCTTTGCATTATTGTAGCCATTTTCTGTAGCCTGTCAACTATGTGTCTGTTTGTCCCTGTTCTCTCATTTTACATTTTAGTCATTCAGCAGACGCTCTTATCCAGAGCAACTTACAGTTAGTGAGTGCATACATTATTTATATATATATTTTAAAAATTATTTCACACTGGCTCCCCGTGGGAATCGAACCTCTGGAACTGCCGTTCTGCGGCCAACAAGGCAGAGTTTATCTCAGCCTATGCTACCCTCCAGTCCCTCGACTTCTTGGTGCTGACGGAAACATGGATTACCACAGAAAACACTGCTACTCCTACTGCTCTCTCCTCGTCTGACCATGTGTTCTCGCATACCCCGAGAGCATCTGGTCAGCGGGGTGGTGGCACAGGAATCCTCATCTCTCCCAAGTGGACATTCTCTCTTTCTCCCCTGACCCATCTGTCTATCTCCTCATTTGAATTCCATGCTGTCACAGTCACTAGCCCATTCAAGCTTAACATCCTTATCATTTATCGCCCTCCAGGTTCCCTTGGAGAGTTCATCAATGAGCTTGACGCCTTGATAAGTTCCTTTCCTGAGGATGGCTCACCCCTCACAGTTCTGGGTGACTTTAACCTCCCTACGTCTACCTTTGACTCATTTTTCTCTGCTTTCCACTCCTCTCCTCTTTTGACCTCACCCTCTCACCGTCCCCCCCTACTCACAAGGCAGGCAATACGCTTGACCTCATCTTTACTAGATGCTGTTCTTCTACTAATCTCACTGCAACTCTCTCGCTCTCCTCCAATACTACTCACTCTGCCCCTACTCAGATGGTAATGCGCCGTCGCAACCTTTGCTCTCTCTCTCCCGCTACTCTCTCCTCTTCCACCCTATCATCTCTTCCCTCTGCTCAATCCTTCTCCCTCCAATCTCCTGATTCTGCCTCCTCAACCCTCCTCTCCTCCCTTTCTGCATCCTTTGACTCTCTATGTCCCCTATCCTCCCAGCCGGCTCGGTCCTCCCCTCCTGCTCCGTGGCTTGACGACTCACTGCGAGCTCACAGAACAGGGCTCCGGGCAGCCGAGCGGAAATGGAGGAAAACTAGACTCCCTGCGGACCTGGCATCTTTTCACTCCCTCCTCTCTACATTTTCTTCATCTGTTTCTGCTGCTAAAGCCACTTTCTACCACTCTAAATTCAAAGCATCTGCCTCTAACCCTAGGAAGCTCTTTGCCACCTTCTCCTCCCTGCTGAATCCCCCCCCCCCCCCCCCCCCCCCCCCTCCCTCTCTGTGGATGACTTCGTCAACCATTTTGAAAAGAAGGTTGACGACATCCGATCCTCGTTTGTTAAGTCAAATGACACCGCTGGTCCTGCTCACACTGCCCTACCCTATGCTTTGACTTCTTTCTCCCCTCTCTCTCCAGATGAAATCTTGCGACTTGTGACGGCCGGCCGCCCAACAACCTAACCGCTTGACCCTATCCCCTCCTGTCTTCTCCAGACCATTTCCGGAGACCTTCTCCCTTACCTCACCTCGCTCATCAACTCATCCTTGACCGCTGGCTATGTCCATTCCGTCTTCAAGAGAGCGAAAGTTGCACCCCTTCTCAAAAAACCTACACTCGATCGCTCCGATGTCAACAACTACAGACCAGTATCCCTTCTTTCTTTTTTCTCCAAAACTCTTGAGCGTGCCGTCTTTAGCCAACTCTCTTGCTATCTCTCTCAGAATGACCTTCTTGATCCAAACCAGTCAGGTTTCAAGACTGGTCATTCAACTGAGACTGCTCTTCTATGTGTCATGGAGGCTCTCCGCACTGCTAAAGCTAACTCTCTCTCCTCTGCTCTCGTCCTTCTAGACCTATCTGCTGCCTTTGATACTGTGAACCATCAGATCCTCCTCTCCACCCTCTCTGAGTTGGGCATCTCCGGCGTGGCTCACTCTTGGATTGCGTCCTATCTGACAGGTCGCTCCTACCAGGTGGCATGGCGAGAATCTGTCTCCGCACCACGTGCTCTCACCACTGGGGTCCCCGAGGGCTCAGTTCTAGGCCCTCTCCTATTCTCGCTATACACCAAGTCACTTGACTCTGTCATATCCTCACATGGCCTCTCCTATCATTGCTACGCAGACGACACACAATTAATCTTCTCCTTTCCCCCTTCTGATAACCAGGTGGCGAATCGCATCTCTGCATGTCTGGCAGACATATCAGTGTGGATGACGGATCACCACCTCAAGCTGAACCTCGGCAAGACGGAGCTGCTCTTCCTCCCGGGGAAGGACTGCCCGTTCCATGATCTCGCCATCACAGTTGACAACTCCGTTGTGTCCTCCTCCCAGAGTGCAAAGAGCCTTGGCGTGACCCTGGACAACACCCTGTCGTTCTCCGCTAACATCAAGGAGGTGACCCGATCCTGTAGGTTCATGCTCTACAATATTCACAGAGTACGACCCTGCCTTACACAGGAAGTGGCACAGGTCCTAATCCAGGCACTTGTCATCTCCCGTCTGGATTACTGCAACTCGCTGTTGGCCGGGCTCTCTGCCTGTGCCATTAAACCCCTACAACTCATCCAGAACGCCGCAGCCCGTCTGGTGTTCAACCTTCCCAAGTTCTTTCACGTCACCCCGCTCCTCCGCACACTCCACTGGCTTCCAGTTGAAGCTCGCATCTGCAACAAGACCATGGTGCTTGCCTACGGAGCTGTGAGGGGAATGGCACCTCCGTACCCTCAGGCTCTGATCAGTCCCTACACCGAAACAAGGGCATTGCGTTCATCCACCTCTGGCCTGCTGGCCCCCATACCTCTGCGGAAGCACAGTTCCCGCTCAGCCCAGTCAAAACTGTTCGCTGCTCTGGCACCCCAATGGTGGAACAAGCTCCCTCACGACGCCAGGACAGCGGAGTCACTCACCACCTTTCGGAGACACTTGAAACCCCACCTCTTTAAGGAATACCTGGGATAGGATAAAGTAATCCTTCTACCCCCCCTTACCCCACCCCAAAGAGAAAAAAAAAAACATATTGTAAAGTGGTTGTCCCACTGGCTATCATAAGGTGAATGCACAGATTTGGTAAGTTGCTCTGGATAAGAGCGTCTGCTAAATGACGAAAATGTAAATGTCAAAATGTTATAGCCCGTTAATTACTATGTATTTACTAGGTAAAAATATAGTAACAAAAACTAAATACGATTACGTACTAACAATTTAGTCTTAAATGTACTTACTAGAAACCAAGCAAGTAAGCACTACTGTACATATTTATTTAGTCATAATTTAGGTAAGTACAAGTAAGTACCAGTTTATAACTATGAAAATACCTAGTCACGCCTGTCTCTTTCAATGTAATACCTAAGAAACACCAATGAACATACATTGTCATTTATAATTTATTACCACGTAATTACTAAATAAATGCCTTCAAGTCATCCTCTTGTGTTGATATTCTCTCCCGTTGTTTCTATGTACTTTACATTTACATTTTAGTCATTTAGCAGACGCTCTTATCCAGAGCGACTTACAGTTAGTGAATCAAACCCACAACCCTGGCGTTGCAAACGCCATGCTCTATCAACTGAGCTACGTCCCTGCCGGCCATTCCCTCCCCTACCCTGGACGACACTGGGCCAATTGTGCGCCGCCCATGAGTCTCCCGGTCGCGGCCGGCTGCGACAGAGCCTGGATTCGAACCAGGATCTCTAGTGGCACAGTTAGCACTGCGATGCAGTGCCTTAGACCACTGCGCCACTCAGGAGGTTACCTTTACCTTTAGTTAGCATGTATGTTCATAGTAACAGACCTGTAAAATGAAGTGGTGTCTGTTTCAGCATATATACAGTACAAGTAGTTACTTGTGAGGTTCCACTGCATTGGACGACTCCATCCAATGTTGACAAGAGCAAAAAATTTTGTGATCGTACCCTGTTTTTACAAGGTACCTCCTTCACACTTACAGGGTAGATAGGAGGTAAGAGGGATGTCAAATGAAGCCATTGCTAATACTGTATACACTGAGTAAAAAAAAAAATTAAGAACACCTACACTTTCCATGACATAGACTGACCAGGTGAATCCAGGTGATAGCAGGTGATCCCTTATTTATGTCACTTGTTAAATCCACTACAATCAGTGTAGATGAAGGGGAGGGGACAGGTGAAATAATACTTTTTTGAGACATCGATTGTGTATTTGTGCCATTCAGAGGGTGAATGGGCAAGACAAAATATTTAAGTGCCTTTAAACAGGGTATGGTAGTAGGTGCAAGGCACACCGGTTTGTGTCAAGATCTGCAACGCTGCTGGGTTTTTCATGCTCAACAGTTTCCCATGTGTATCAAGAATGGTCACCACCCAAAAGACATCCAGCTAATTAGACACAACTGTGGGAAGCATTGGAGTCAACATGGGCCAGCATCCATGTGGAACGCTTTCAACACCTTGTAGAGTCCATGCCCCGACGAATTGAGGCTTTTCTGAGGGCAACTCAATATTAGGAAGGTGTTCCTAATGTTTGATATACTCATTGTAGATATCAGAAACTTGAAGGTCAATTATCCCTCTTTATGATTTAGTCAAATTATTGTACAGACATAATAAACATACCAAGTAAATTTCCTGTAAATAACACACAGTGTGTGACACACACACACTCACACACTCACACACACACACACACACACACACACACACACACACACACACACACACACACACATAAATACACACACAAACAGACACACACACTGTGATTTTATATTAGTTGTTATTTCTACTCGTTTTTAGATTTGATTTGACATTCAGTTTAGTTTCAGTTCGTTTTCAGATTTGATATACTCGTTTTTATTTCGTTTCAGTTTGATAAAAACATTTATATTTCATTTTTATATTATTTAGTTTCAGTTTTAGTTTTAGTGTTAGGGACAGAAAGGACAGTACCCTATGTATGGGGGGCTAGGAGCCATTTATGTGTTGTAGGCCTATAGTTCGTTTTTTGGGGGGATGTCCCTTCATGCCACTTGGGGGCAGTAATAAGGTGATGGTTATAGGTTTGGTTAGGTTTAAATTATAAATCAATTTTAGGCCGCATTCCAGAGCTTAGACATTGCTGATGCCTGACAGATCTTATAACTCCTGGATAGGTATTTTAAGTATCAGCTAACCACATCATATGTTATAGAAATCTGTCAGTTGATGACACAGTCGATGACGTGGCACGCAACCATTGGTTGATGCATGCAATTTCTGAGCAGGGGAACACAACCATTGTCTACTTATTGCCCCCACCCTGCGGAGGGGGTGCCCAAGACTGGCAAATCTTTCTGGTCGAGGTAGGGCACTCTGGTCTGCTTATTGCCAGTGAGATGTTTCGCTCTAGGGCAGCCCCTCCGCAGGGCGGGGGCAATAAGCAGACCAGAGTGGCCCTGCCCCGATCAGAAAAAAATGAGGTGGTGTCTCGCTTTCTTTACTATCTCTGCCCCGGATTTCTTCCCTGTTATTAGCTATTGATAGCAAACATTATCTATTATACAGGTATTGACAAGATGTTCAAGTAACCGTTCTAACAATTAAAATACATGTCCTCAAAGATGGAAGGCAGGCGAGAGGAGACGACATCAGGTGGGACCATTCTAGCCAATGAGAGGACAAAAACGCGTGTGAACAACAGACACAACTAAGTTGTTTTTCTCAAAGTTGCAGAATGCCATGTGCATCCACTTATATCAGTACATTCGTAAAAACCTAAACATTACTCTTTTTGATCAAAGAAGCCTCACGTAATTTAAAACTCTCATAGATCGCCATGCAAAAAGGTCTGCTTATCTCATGGGGACAGATTTTTGGCGGAGGTAATCATCTCGCTTCGCTTTACCTCTCTGGTTAAACACTGCCATCTACTGGCAGCATTTACCCGCCAGAATCAGAAGCTCGAAAACCCCATAAAAAAAAGCTTGAAAACCCTATTTGATTTTTGCCCAAAGTAAAAAAAAAACTAAAACTGAACATCATTTATAAAAAAATATATTCTATTTGAGTTAGTTTTGCAGTCAAATATAATAGTTTCACTATAGTTTTAGTTTAGTAAATTGTTTTTACAATTTTAGTTTTAGTTTAGTTTTAGCTAACTATAATAACCTTGACACACACACACACAAACACACACACACACACACACACACGCAGACACACCCTTTAAACCTCAATGCTAATTTGAGACCCCTCTTTCGAAGTCAATTAGATCCATTCTTCTAACCATGGTAGCCATAATAATGAGCAACTGGGCATTTTCATATATGACCCTAAGCATGATGTGATGTTAATTGCTTCATTAATTCAGGAACCACACCTGTGTGGAAGCACCTGCTTTCAATACACTTTGTATCCCTCATTTACTCAAGTGTTTCCTTTATTTTGGCAGTTATCTGTATGTACTAGTAACAGGGCTGTAAAATGAAGTGGTGTCTGTTTCCAGGTAAATACAAAGTAGGTACATGTGAAGTACCAGCACATTGGATAACTCCATTCCATGAAGACAACAGCAAATATGTCCGTGATCCTACCTTGTTGGTACATGTTACCACCTCCACACTTACGGGGTAGATATGAGGTAAGAGGGCTGCAAAATGAAGCTGTTGCTAATACCATGTAAATACCAGATACTTTCAAGTTTACTCCAGTACAATATAACAAAGTGATCCCGTTTGTCAAAGTGTTTTGTTTTTATACAATTAAGACCACAAAAGTTTGTTTAATGAATATCAACCAACCAAACCTAGCTAGCTAAGTAGAAACACATTTGTATTCACAACCATATCAAAGACCTAGCATAACAACAAAAGTGAAATACATACACTACCGTTCAAAAGTTTGGGGTCACTTAGAAATGTCCTTGTTTTCGAAAGAAAACCTTCTAGGCAGAGTTGCAAAGAAAAACCCATATCTCAGACTGCCCATCTTAATCTTTTCTTTTTATTGGCCAGTCTGAGATAAGGCTTTTTCTTTGCAACTCTGCCTAGAAGGTCAGCATCCCAGAGTCGCCTCTTCACTGTTGACGTTGAGACTGGTGTTTTGCGGGTACTATTTAATGAAGCTGCCAGTTGAGGACCTGTGAGGCGTCTGTTTCGGACAATCGTTTAGGGTGTGGTTCGGCCATTATATTTGGAAACCTCAGAGGAGATTTAGGATTATGATAAAATTGGTTATGGTAAAATGTTAATGTGATAGACATTCCAAGTTTATAGAATAAAATATTATACGAATATTGATTAAGTGTGGTGGGAAATACCATTGTGTGAATGCGATATGAGAGTTGTGTGAATATGGGAATGAGTTTTAATCTGAAGTTTGGATAATAACATATAGAAATATGTATGATAAAATGGTTGGGATTTGGATAATAAACTTTTGATATAACATTATCTTGGGGTTCTGTACGTCGCTGCCCATTATAGAATATCACGGGTAGGTATCGAGAGCGGAATGCTATTTTAGAAAGTAGCGGTCAGCCTATATTTTCTGGGAGGATCCCAGGACAGGCCGGGCAGGGTCCGGGTAACTAAAAACGTGTTTTTGGTTCATCTGGGAGTAGATTGTGATTAGTGGATGTGTGGCAATGGAGAATCATTAAAAGCGTGAATTGATTGGTTGATGTGAATATATGACGATATGGTGAATGTTATGTGCGTGTAATCGATTACTAGAGATTTGATAAAGTAATAAGTGGAATAATATTTATATACTAACTTTGCGCATCCAAAACGTAGACGTACGTGAGGGGTGGGAAACAACACATAGATCATTTGATAGAGATAAGGTTAAGCATTATATGACTGTCTATCATTGCGGAGCTAAGGTGGTGTAGGAAAGGAATTTCATTATGTCGCAAGGGAAAACATAATCCATTTGATTAAACTCGTTAGATCTGTTTCCAAATCAATGAATGTAGATTTGACTCGTTGACTGCTAATTTATTCCCTCTGAGCATGTGATATATTTGCAAAGAAACACTTGGAGGACCTTTAAGGCTATTTTCTGGTCATTGTGTTATGTGACAGATGTTAAGACTACAAACCATTATAATTGGGATATTTGCGGGATTTACTTGTCATTTCAATAGGCATATGTTCTGTGTTACTGACTAAAATCTTGGTTTCTGATTATAATTCAACTATGGCCATGGGTTGCATAGATTGATATACAGATTTTTTGTGTGCCCTAATGGTTTGCTGAGGAACCTACTGAGAATGGGGTTGTAATTTTAAATATTGAATGAAATATGGAAATTAATTGAATATATGCTGGTCAACTACAGCAAGTGTTTGTTTTGTTACCTGTAGCCTAATCAGAAAGGACAGTTACCTAAATCTGAGTTAAAAGAAACAGAGATGTAGACGCGTAAATTCAATGGAAAGTAAGAATTTCGAATTTGAATTGTTTGGACTGGTTAAGAGTTAGCAAAATGGACACTAACGAAATGTGCACTTTTTCTTCCAGGAGAATGGGGGTAGTGATTTTCTCTCTCTTTGAAATGTTTCCCGAGACTATTGTCCTTGGAGAGTGAGTATAAAGGTTAGCGGATTAGGTCATAAGAGGGAGCTACCCAATTAAATAAGGCCTGGCCATTTTTGTTTGTTTTTTACTATATGGTTTTCAAATAACCACAAACAACCCACCTTTTATGAAATGTTGGTTGTATAGGGTTTTTATTTTTATTTTAGGGGGTTTTCACGGGTTAGAAATGATATATCTTAAAGGGGCACACACATGGAATTTTCTGAGGTTTTTATTTTCTGAGTGAGTTTTAAGTAAACACGTGATTTATTTTGAAAATAACTGTACTAAGGACTTACTGTACACTTGGGATACAAAATGTATGAAATGTTTTGACTGTTGTTAATAATTAGTTTACTATAGAATGAAACACTTATTTGAAGGATTTGAATGACCTCTGACCTCTGTTCTGACTTTCTGTTGAGGCCCGATCACCCTCACTAGAGACCCTAGAAACATTGGGTGAGATTTAAATGTAATACGTAAACACTGATAATTATGAAGGAGGTTATAGTTCATAGCCATATTTGATTTCGGACCATGACTAGGACAGAGAGAGAGCGCTAGCCCTGAATGAGGGAAATTTGTAAATTGTACTACTTCCCTGAATTACATTATGGGATACAATTAAGTTAAGATATTATCAAAGATTGTCATTCTAATTTCATTTATTATTTTGGATTAACAGACAATGTTATTGTGTTACGATGTGAGTCATGTGTCCAAAGGGGGGAATTACTGGTCCCCTGCGGCCTTTTGGTAAATATGCAAATTCTATTAAGAATATGAGCAGTAGTAATTAATGTGTTATGGGTTAGATGGAATGTTTTATGTGCAAATGTATTTGTGGCAGGAGACAAAGTACAAAGGGGGCCTGTCTCTGAAACTAGTGGACTACAACAAGCTGCAAGAATGTGCACTTCCTAATCTCAAGGCTTCTCCTGACTGATGAGAAGACATGGTACTGTAGCATACTGTGTCTCACCTAACAATGTTCTTAAGACTCTCTTCCCACGGCTGAAGGCTTCTTTGCCCAACCGAGCAAGATAATCTGAGTATTGTCTGCGCCCTGGAGATTTTGTGGCGGTAAAAGACTATAGAAGAAAGAGCTGGAAAGACCCTGGGTGGAGGGGCCCGTACCAGGTGTTGCTGGCTACCTCGATGATGGTGAAAGTGGCAGAGACAGATACCTGGATCCATGTGTCCCACTGTAGGAGAGTTCCAACCCCAGAAGAGGAAGATGGCCCCGCCAATGGGTAGCATTGTTTTCAGTGTCTGTGTGTCTTTGCAGCAGTGACTATCAGCTTCCCGATTGGTACGCTACCAGAAGGACACTCTCAGCAGACCGATGTCGATGGATTGAGAGGGACTCTGCCTGATCCGGAGACCCTAGTGACGGAAGAAGGTCCCGAGCCAAAGAGACCATACATCGTCACCCAGGCTGCACCAACGGCTGTACGAGAGAGGGGAGCTTGACCTGGTATCATCTAAACCACTGCACCAGAGTACCATGAGGAAACCGACGACCTAGAGATGAGGGAGCTGAGGATGCTGGAGCTGGCAAGAATCAGGAGATGGGGAGGATGGCAATGGGAATGCTACTGATGAGCTACGTGCTCTGGCTAATTCCCTCAGCGGAGGGGCACACCTCCAAGACATCCTAGACCTCCAAGAACCTACAAGAACTTCAAGAACATCCTAGACCTCAGAGATCCTACAAGACCTCCAAGATCCTACAAGACAACCAAGACTGACCCGATTTCCCCACCGTTGATTTCTCTACCCTTGACGAGTCCCCTAACAGAAATTGGAAACCAGAACAGTTGAATAAGGAAAATGGCATACTGACAATAGTAAAGAGCACAAGAACAAGACAAAGAAGAGAAACAGACAGGATTAGAATGTATATTCCTGCACAAGCAGGAACCACAACTGAAGTACAGAAAGGGATCGCTATTAAAGTATGAGGGTTAAATGGTTATTGGTGTGGGAGGAACCAGCACAAGGATTATGGGGAAATCACATGGGGTAACTGTGACCTCAAGATAATAAAAGAAAAAGACAGGTGGATCATAGACATAAAGATAACAGCCCAAGACTTAGATAAACAATTTGATGTAGTACTTGCAAGTGCTACATTTCCAGGGGACAGTGTTGCTGAAGTAGTTATTCCTTGGAAATACTGAACCCCTTACATGTTAGAGCCCCACCAAAAGCAGAAGAAAGGGAATGGAAGGAGGCGCTTAACAATGACTGGTATAGATGGGCACAATATACTATATTAAAATTAAAGAAAGAAAACTGACTAATATGCACTTCATCTCCTTTAAAGGAATTAACAGTAGTTCAAAATCCCCACAGTTACCAGGACCGTGCTACGTTCAACCACACCTTCTGTCATCTAAGGAACTTGGAAAGACAGTATTGCCCAGCAGAATGTTTGTCAAATTTAGGAAATCCAAAATATATATTTTTTATAATCAACCAGGATCGGTAGAGAAATGTAAGCAATTAGACATTAGAATAGAAACAAGGAAAAGGGAAGCGCCAGAGAAATATCAAATAGACTGTGAGCAAAAATATGAGTGTTACAATAAAACAATCAGGTTATATAATTTGGGAGAATTCAAAGGAGAATGTGAAACTACATGGCACCTAGATACAGATAGCTTTTGGAATGCAGACACCCCTCAAAGAAAAATCTATCAGGCAGCAGGGTCAAGTACTGGAGTAATAGTTGCCCGGAAGTATGCGAAAATCAAACATTGGCCTTACCACTTATCGATCCATATGAGGATCAGTCAGTGGCAATTGCAGATTTTTTCTGGGTCTGTCAGGGGCAACTAAGGACATTATTACCAGAAGGATGGAAAGTGATCTGTGCCAGGGTACAGTTAATACAAAATATGTAATAGTTGACTGGAAGGCTTTAAATGTTGATACACGAGATACTAAAACACAAAGATCAAAAAGGGCATATGAAGCCGATCCGAACATACAGATAGATGTTATAGGCCAGACTA